GGACGACAAATATTTTGTTCTTATTCCCCCGGGCATCGCACGGGTAATTCACTAGTGACCTCTGAAAGGCTAACACATCCTAACACATGTTCACCTAGCCCAAACTCACATAAACCACCAAGCCCACACGAACCACCATATAGCCCATCACAACCTAACCCACCTGAACCATAATCAATACCAGTTGAAGCTAATTCATCATCATCAGTGTCAGTTGAAGATAATTGCATAAGGGCAACTAATCATAACAGAATGGTGAAAGCAGTTAGAAGAGTTAAACATAATAGTTGGTAGTTTGTTATTTCTTGTTGCTCTCTTAGAGTTAGATCACATATATGATTTGTTGGACCTAGCAGCTGATTTGTTGGACCCTGATGTAACACCCCGTATATATCCGGTAATGTTATCATACTATCGTATTAAGCTGCGCTTAATTAAAAATGTGGAATATCTTTTTCTTTTCAATTATGAAGTCATTATCATTACCAACTTGTTTATTAATCAATTAATAAAACATCGCCTGTATGCAACTGCAATAAAATAGCTAACTGAAATACCTCATTGATTAAAATAACACAATGTATGGCTCTAGTCACGGAACTACAACACGTAGACCAGACCAACTATCAGTTTATACAACTCAACTCAAAAAGTACTACAACATAGTGGCATGGACAACCCCCATGCTCACCGAAATAAGGCAACAAAGCCCAACATAGTCTCAACTCAATAGCAACATAATAATCATAATGCGGAAAACATAAACAACATCCAGTCCAGTCATGCTAGCAAATAAGTAGTAAAATCATCAACTAAGCTCTGGCCTCCTGCCGCCAGAGGCATCAGTCACCATACTACCTGAACCTGAAATAAGCATTCTCCAAACGTGGGGTGAGATCTCTAAACAAAAAATTTCAGTAAGAGAAGGGGTCCTCAAGGATCTTCCACCCCAAGCTCACTTACATGTGCAATATAAGTTTAAAAGCAGTTCATCAATATCATTTCTAAAACAGTGCAATGCAGCAGATAATCATGTCATGTGTGTCAATACTATTCTACTGACCAGAAAAATGCAGGATTTATATACGTCTAATACCCACACATAGTGCAAGACGCTACTTGCATCCACCCCGGATCACCGTCTTGTATGACGCCACATACTCAGGCTTACCGTCAAGATGGAACAACACATGCATATTAAAAGCCATTAACACATAAAGCTCAACAACATTTCATATATCAAAATCATGTAACACAACATGCATATAACCATACCCCCATGGGACATGGTGGAACCACAACATGGCTAAACCGAGGACACGAAAGCTTACCTTGCAAGCTAACACCCAAAGCCAAAAGTCCACAACTCAAAGTCCAAACACAGCAGATTCACAATCTGTTATGAACCAATAATACATCAACAATCATACTCTACAAGTATACAACATACAGATAACGCCTTTTCATTACGTTTTACTTCTTAAGGTTTCTCACCAAGCCATAAGTCCTTAATCACATGATTCTGACTTACATTAATTAATTACAGAAGTTCAACTTTCTCAAACTAGGGTCCACAAACCCATAGATCAGTTCTGGGTGAACAGTATGCTATTGTTCCTCGCAAACCCAGAATATCCGGATATTCCACGGGGACATATCCGGATATCCAATATCGGGATATCTCACAGGCAATATCCGGATATTCAATATCCGTATATCACTCTGGCAATATCCGGATATCAATATCCGAATATTCCACGGCAAATATCCGGATATTTCGCGACAGAATGCAGTTTCTGCTTTTCGTGAAGATATCCTTCCAAGGTTCCATTTTTAACACTTCCAGAAGCTTAAACATGCATCTTAAGGTTCATTGAGGTTCATATGGTCGTTGGTTACTTGTTTAATTCATTAAACATGCCAAGACTTCATCTTTAAGCAACAAAACTCAAAACCAAGGTTGGTACAACTTACCACAGCTTAAACTCAGCAAGATGGGTGCTCTTGGAGCTCACACAACAGCTCTAAGGTACTGACTTCAAGGGTGCACGAAAATACCACCCAAGCAAGGGTCTTTCTTCACAAAGAAGGCTCCTTGAAGCCTCACAAACCAAGAACAACACTCCACCACAACCAATTCAGCAAGTCAGCCCTCAACCCTTCCCAAACTGAACCTCACAACTCAGAAAAGGCACCCTAAACACTCTCCAATGCTCACACTCAAGTGTCTACTTGATCAAGAAGTGAAACAATGATCAAATGTGGTGACTTTGGTGAGAAGAAGGAGGAGAAATGAAGAAGCAAGGTGGCTGGTCACAAGGCTTCAGCAAGGTTCACGTAGGAGGCACAATGTATGACCTAGGATCATGTGCACTAAGCTTATATAGTCACTTAACCAATTAACACACAGTATTAACTTTAATTGTTACGCTTAGCATCTTAATCCCAAACTCAGGATTCTTAACCTACTCAATTTTACAAGAATTATCATATTTTCTTATATTTTTCGGAGCACTTTTCCGATACGCGTTTTTCATAGCCAATACCAGTTTCTGGCACCAGTTCTCATTATATTGACTTGAAACTCGTTTTACAAGTCTTACATATTATTCTAGTAATTATCATGTACTTATTATAATTTTCCGGCATACTTTTTCGGTACGCATTTATACCGACTAGCCGAATCGGTATCTGCACTTTTCTTCCGAAAAGCGACTTTCAGCATTCTTACTCACTAATTATAATTATTAGAGCCTCATAATAATTATTAGGGTCAATTATGGAATTATTTCTTAATTTCACATAATTAATTAATTAATTTCCTTAATTAGCGGTGCGGATTCTTACACCTGGTGTCACCAGCTCCTTTCCTTGAGAAGCCCTGAGTTGGTTGTGTTTGTTTTTGTTCTCTGGTTTTGTTCTTTTCCTGTTTCTGTTGTAGTTCTGGTTTTTTGTGTTCTCTGGGGCTTTGCCCCTTTGTTTTACCAAAAAAAAAAAAATACATATATGAGCAATGCTTTGGCTCTCTGTGAGAGCAGTACTTAGGATAAATACATATATGAGCAATTTTATGACCACTGACTATTTCATTTGATTGGACGAAATCATCTCTTTTTTAATATCTATTTCATATGTAAAGGAGATGCTTAATCTCATCTTTAAGAAATCTTAAACTCATTTTTAATAAATGTGATTCTTCGGTCAAACCATATATAGATGGACTTGAATAAAGTCAAATTTTTAAATTCATCCAAAAAAATTGAAGGCCCACTTATGCGGCTTATAGGAAAGTGATTTCAAACATATATATTGTTGCGATGCAGTTGGGTCATTAATTGATTTAAAAAAAAAAATCTTGGTTCATGAATTATTAAAAAATAAATAAATAATGTTAAGTGAAGTACAGCTCGGTTTACAATAGAATTTGGTTCCATTGTAAGTAATAGTGTCAAAGCAACTTCCAAATTAACTTACCAGACTCAAGTTTAATTTCACATCATCTTCTTTGTTACTCAACTAATAACCTCCCAAGCATTAAGCATATTTTATTATATAAATAGACCCCGGAAATCCCATTGAGTGCTCACTCTCATTTTTCTTAGTTTAAGCAACCAAATTCTCACTTTTCCCTCCCTTCATTCCCCTCTTTCTTGGTAACATTGACAATGCATCTGATATCTATATTTGCATTCTTTTAGCAAGAAAGAAAGGCACTAATGGACAACCTTCCGAAATGCCAAACAAACTATACTCCTCTAAACCCCTTAACTTTCTTGAAAAGAGATGCAGTATGCTATGCCAACCTTAACTTCCTCTCTCCGTGCCTTAAATATTTCTAGGAATGATGTTGTAAGCACCATATTAATTTCTTCCATTCAATTTTTTATACTTAAAAATATTTTTGAGTATAAATATCAAGGCCAGATGATAAATTCCAATAGTGATCACTTGTGTGTGAAATAAGTCAACACATATAATAACAAAAGTGTGGACTGTCCTAAATTTGAAATTTACTGTCATTTGAAAAATTTTAAAATAGTGGAATGTAACATTTTCTTGTATTACTAGAAGCTTTTGACATCCTCATGCAGGAATTATGTTTCTAATTAACGTGTGATTAATCTAGAGACAAGAAGCTTAAGTACTCATTAGATATAAAGCCTTCATAATATAATTAATATCCACACGGATAAAGCACTTGTAAGGTGTTCATAAATACTTATATATAAATCATGCATCATATGATACAATGTCTAACTATTCTGATACTGGTAATTTAATTAATAATTAGTTTTAATTTGCTTGCCAGGTATCAGTGCTGGCCCCTAATGTTCCAGCAATGTATGAGATGCATTTTGCTGTGCCGATGGCTAATGCAGTGCTCATGGACAAAGAATTTCAACAGTGTGAAACACATGAGGTTAAAAAAAAATATTCATCTTTTCCCTTAGTCATTGCTATTGATGACATAAACTCACCCACTGGCTTCAGAAATGGCTGGTTGAATATAAATTGTTATTTGAAATGTCTTGTAATGTCTCAGCCTGATATTTGAAATATACAACCCAACAATTAACATGCATTTACAGCTATTGATAATTGAATTTTAATTCTACCTGCTTAAGAATTATTAGTAAAACGCAACACGCTCATACGATAACGCAAAACGCTCTTCCAAAATGGATATTATTTGGTAAGGTAAGGGATATCATGTTATGTTTACATTTGCAACCTCATATTTATCCTTACTTATTTAGCAATTGGCAACAGTAAGAATAATTTATTATTTTTAATAGTAAAGATCGATAAATACTTTTGGGTTGCCACAAATCCTCCTCTTACACAGAAAAAACGAAGATTCTATTTGGTACATAGTAATAACATAACAATCTTTCCACATAACAACCTAGACTAAAATTTCCACATAGGTGACATATATATATATATATATATATATATATATATATATATATATATACAAGGAATTTGCCAGTACGGGACTAAAATTTCCTCATTGTACTTGTTTTGTTCAACAACAAAATTCCCCAGCTATTGACATGACATGTAATTACACCAAACTCCACCCCCTCCCCTAAAGAAATAATGGAATTCAAAAAGTTTAAAAAAACAAAACCTGATTACCAAAAGGAAAGCTTTTAATTTGAACTCCAATGACATGTCACTACCAAAAGAAAAAAAAAAAACAAAAAAAAACAAAAAAAAATAGGAACAAAAAAAAATGAAGCAGCACACGGACCGCACAAAGTATATAAATATATGCAATGAGTCCGAGGATATACAACACGTAAGCCAAAATTCTTCCGTGGATTTTGTGAAGCACCTATTTGGCCAGTCAACTCCATGATGGTGATGATGGTTTATAGACAAAGTCTTGGGAAGCAGTAGAACCATAATTCAAATCAAGGTTATGGAGCTGTTCCATCAACTGGGAACGCCTTTCCTTGAAAAAATCAAGACGCGTGTTTAACTCTACTAATGTTGAAGATGCTACAGATGGATGTCTTGCATATTCTGTCACCTGAAACCAATGCTACTAGGTTACTTCCTAATTATTTGGAAGCAGAGAAGTGTATGTATTAGTAACAAATAGCTAATGATAACATACACGAAATTCACAGTTTTGACAACATGAAAAAAAATAAAAAAAATTGACGTTAACAGAAATTCTGTCACTTGAACTTAATTGTTACCTCTGCTGCCCTTGAGGTGGAGGGCACTGAGGCAGAATCAACGGCGCAGAGCTCATCTACAGATATGCTGGTCGATGCCTCGGTACTTTTCGAATCACTAGGACTTGTTGAGTCTATAAATGGCTTCCGAGAAGGCTGCCTACTACCATTACCAGATGCCAATACTTGTCCTTTCATATTTCTCCAATCTGTGCCCAACAAACTCTCCTGTTGAAATGAAAAGGCAAATTTTAACCCTGCTTTTGGAGTATTATTGCTCAAAACCATAAATGAATTGTATAATCCATAAGCAATGGACTGATCTCATCATAAAAAAAAAAAAAAAAAGACCAACAGATTGATAAATTAGAAACGAGAGTGCTGCAGCCAGTCACATAATGGCTTTACAGTAAAACTATCAGATTTAAGATTAGCATCATCATTTTAATGAATGAAAATCACACAATGCTGATTGCCAAAGTCCCGATATAATGCTGTAGTAGGAATTATTCATCTTTTTTCATAATTCAGGAGCTCTTGATCGACAAAATAAAGTTTTGATTTTAATCAATTTAATTAAGCCAAACTCCAACTTCCTAGCTGTTGTTTGGGAAACGACCAAGAAAAGTTTCAGGAAAATCACTAACTAAATGATTGGGTGCATTTCTAATTCTAATAAAAGAAATGAATCTTGATTAATATAAATTCTTGATTATGCACCTGGGGTCAGAAACCATTCATTGCCAATTTTCTCAGTTATACATCAAAATCACCTCCATCCCAAAAAAATTTCTTAGTTATAAAGAGAATAAATTTTACAACAGAATACAATGGGCGGGGGAGGGATAAAACTAGAAATGCAACTCCGTTGTTGAGGTCAATTATGCAACTAACTTATCTGTATGAATTATTCCCAGGTGTGACAAACTAGTTACCCCATTAAACACATGAAAAGATTGTCCAATAGTATCAACTCATGTAATCACTTAAATACTAACAGGAAGGAGTCGAAAAGGTTATACAATAAAAAGGAAGGGAAAAACCAGAATTGAAAAACATAAAATAGGAGGCGCAACAATAAATTTGCTATGCAAAGTTGCTCATGCCTCTCATTTCTGAAATTTTTTAATGAAGTTTCGAGAAACAGTCTAAGATATACCTCCGTCCTTTGTTTCCTTTCATGATTAACAAAGGCAAGGTTTGAATCAAAATCTTGCTGAGGAAATCTCCTGCACAAGTCATATAAACCACCTTATATAGCTAACAAAGAATTTAAAAGTTTACGAGGTTTTCAATTATTAAAAGGCAGGTCCCATAAAATTTAAAGAATGCAGCAAGAGGCTAAAAATGACAATACAGTTAAAAACATGAAATGAGTACCAGTGGATACAAACAATTCTTTTATAAGGAACCAAGGAAAAAGAAAAAAAAAATTGAGATTACAACACAATATCTCTTTTTTCAGGAGAATTTCTCTGATGAAAAATACAATATTTTCAGTATCAATGCTGGTCGATGGTAGCCCTTTAAAATTGGTATTAAACCAGCAAACCCTTTGCTATTTAAATTGGATTTGGCGTTGAATTCATGAAGAACTGGCACCAATTTAAAGTTCTTCAAAAACTGAAATAACAGTATCCATCATGGAGACTAAATACATAGATTCTTTTTTTTATTATTTTATTTTAACATAAAGATGCAAAACCCTGGATTTAAACATTGTATGATACAGGTGATGTTCACCATAATAATCTAAGCAATGTTTAAAAATAACGTAGGTCTGCATACTCACTGCTGAGGAAGATTTTGGGCATGTTGGTAGCGATCACCCACATCAGTAAGTGAACCATAGTGAAGCTGTCGATGCTGATTAAGTTGATGGTGGAGCTCCGCAACCTTCTGCTTCAACCTGGCCACATCAGCTTCAGCAAGTGCAATCTCCTCCAGCTCAGCCTTTGTCTTTACATAAGCAGATTTTATAAGATTACAAGTACCGAAAAAGCAATCAAAAGGGAAAAAGAATAGCAAATTTCTCCAGAATATGAAAGAACCTTGGAATCCATGCCACGCGAACTGGACAACTGTCCTGAAGACATGCTCAAGCCAACTTCCAAAGCAGCTCTAAAATCCCTCTCAGCTTGCAACTGTTCTTGCAATCTTGAAACCTTTAGATTAAAAAATCTGTTAGATAGAGATATAATAACGAACAGCAAAGGGAAGGTTAAACCAGTAAATCAAATTAAAATTGTCACAATTCATATTGGGCAGGGATAGATATAATAACGAAGAGTACATTTTGTTCAAGTGCCAAGCGCTTCTCATGCAAAGCTTGCTTCCTTCTCTCTAGGCTTGCTTGTAAAATTGCATTGCCTCTAGCCTAAAATGAAAACGGGACCAACTCCATTATAGATCAAACTTCTTCATTACATGATTTGATACAAAATGAGTAAGCGAAAGAAATCTACCTCCTTTGAAATCTTTTGTTGCAAATCATTTTTCGCAATTTCTAGCCTCTGAATAGCAAGCCTACAATATTCAAAAGTATTTGAAGCTTATTCATTCTGAAGGTAAAAAAAGAAAGACATAAAGGGAGACGCACATGAAGCGAAAACATAAAGCAAAGAGCTACCAATAGATGGTTGCTAAAGCTGAAAAAAAAAAAGAAGCCAACCCAGAATCTTACAGCGCCTATCCAAAAAATCATGAAAAGACCTACACAAGAACAACTCCAAACTCTATCCAGAATCACATTACAACAGCTCATTCTACAAAGGAAAAAAATAAGTATATAGCTAAGTGTCTTACTCCTCGTCTCCAGAAGAATCAACTGATTCGACTGACGGTGTCTTCCTCTGCAGCTTAAATCAGAATAAATTATTAGATGCCAAATATTGACCTTAACTACACAAAACTACAAAAACTGTGCAGGAAATATCAGTTTTGCATCCCGTAAAGAAAGCTAATTGTGAGTGAGTATAAGTCAGCATATTTTAATTGCTGGCTCATTGTGAGTGAGTATATTGTTACATGCCATGAATTTTCAAGTAGAAAAACATTCTCCTATAATGGTTAATTGTCATCGTGAATCTAGTAACAGCTCATTCTAGATTCACAATGTGAGTATAAGTCTGCTACAAAGTTGTTAAGCAGTAAATGGTCAGAAAATAACAACTCACATTGCTCCTTCCCCAGAATGTTGACCGCATTGAACTGAAACTTGTGCTACTAGTTTTACCGGTTTGCTTTCCGGAACCTGATTCAATCCCAGGCACGGATAAATGGTTTCCAGGGTCCATAGAAGATAAAATCTCACCCATAGAACGATAAGATTCAGAGGTTGAAGGCAACAGATTTGGAGCATCCTTCCCATCAACTGAGTTATCTTTAACCTTTCTTTGCTTATTTTGATCCTCAGACACTGGGGTATCAGGATCAGTTTTCAGATTTGTATTTTTAGTCTTAGCATGATTACTACTGGAGGATCCAACATCCGAATCATCACCTCCAAAAGCCTGCAGGGGCACAAAAAGAATTAAGAGAAAAAAAAGGGAAAAAAGAACATTGTTAACTACAGAAAAGATTAATCTACAGAAATCTCTCTTCCTGGCTTGAACAAAAATATTTATGAACAAACACACATTTAATTTGAATGACTAATAATAAGCATGGTGGAGGGTTAGACCCGTTGTTATTCCTATGTTCTAGATGGTCCCTTTTTAGTCCTTTTCCTCTTCGTTTCCCCCTCTTCTTCTTTTTCCCTTCTTTTTTACTTATATATATATATATATATATATATATATATAATATATATATATATATTACTATTTTATTTTTTTATTTCTATTTTTATTTTTTTATCTTTTTTCAACCTTTTCGTATCTTTTATTTGGGTTCATCTACCACCGACCCTAATTAATTTGGGATAAAGGTGTTGTTGATGTTGACTAACAATAATAAAAAAAGAGTAAATTACTATAGCCTCACCTATGTTTAGGGTTTACTACACAGATCTCCCCTCTATCATGAAAACACATAAAAACTCCCTTGTATTTATAAAAATGCTATAACTAAATCTACCAGACCAAACAGATTTGTGTAATCAACCCTCAACTTATAGATGTCCTGTGATCAAATGTCATTCCCATCCTTCTTTATTCTGGCCGCATGTCGGGAAAAAGAGAAGAACACATTCATTTATGGTAGACCAGCCTTCAATTCAAACAGTGTGTGTGGTACCAAATGAAACTTCAATTCAGGATCAGCAAACGAAGCTGTTCTTCCCCTCTTCTCAGGGTAGAAGGCTGAACAAATGTCCGAATGAAATTTGACCACAAAAAATTCATGAACTAACTGTTAGGCTTGACAGCATTGTGGAGTTGCAACATTTTATATACACACTGGGACTCCTATGTAGATTTTCATAACAGAAGGGACATTTGCATACTAAGAGTAGAATTGAATACTTATTGTATATTTGTACTTCGATAAATTAAAATGCATCATACATAAATGACGGGATCAGAGGAAGGGAGGAATAGGAGGCAACATGAGATAACCTTGTAATCATAAAGATCGCTGCCAGCATAACCACTACTTTCACTCAATTTTCCACTGTGAACACGATCAGCATCATCATCAGTCTCTTGATCAACTTCATTCTCCGCATCATGGTAACCATTTTCTTTCACATCTATATTATCATCATCAGTTGAATCCTCAGTCCCGCTGTTTTCAACCCGAGAATCTGCTGAAATGGAACATCTCTGTATATTTTCTTCCTGAAACAGCATATAGAGAAATCAGGCTCCTGAACTGAACCAAGAAATGAAAAATAGTTTTTACAAGAGCTGAAGTTTAGCAAACACTCTGCCAACTGACCATGGCTAAATCATAAGTAACACAATTAATTCTAGTTGCACAGGAACAACATACAGTGCAAGAGGTCAAACCTTTTTATCTCAGTATACCATACACCTGAATTTTTTAGCAACAGTTTACTTAATAAACCAGTCCCACGGCAAAACTTTATGATAAGTATGTATCTTTGATACAAGCAAAAGAAGCCCATGAAGAGGACAAAAAGAAAAAGTGAGCCTGAGAGTAATTAGGATACCTCAGACAAAACGCCACATAAATGCATCAACAACCTTTAAGTTATGTTCCCTAATTATATGCAGACACAAACCAGAAAACAATTAATCAAATGAATACAGGTTGATGGAGAGTATCTTACATCAAATATATTCTCATACTCCTCCAACAGAGTTGTAATAATTGCTTGAGCATTATTAGCTGCATTAGCAGCAGCAAGAAGCTGAGCCGAACTATCACCACTAACATCAAATTCATCCTCCAGTTCACATTCTCCAGCTAGCAGAGGCCTTAAGAGTAAGGGTGCCATGCAAGCAGCAACAGCAGATGGAGTCATCCTATTCTCAAGAGAATGTGAAGCAATTGCATGCATCATCTTCAGAATTCTGAGGAGGTAGAGATTACAACAATTAATTTTATGGGGAAAAGTTTTGTTATTAGCTGGTCCCATTACTATATATTTATCATTTTAGATTACATGCAAGCAAATTTTCATGCTAAAGCAGGTCAAAAAACTGAAGTATTATTTAGTACATTTTAGCATAATAATAACAGCAACTCAGCAAGCCATTCCTAATCACCCATCTTAAATATTATCATCTCGGGTAGTTAAGTAAAATTTCACAGAAACTGAGGAGAGCTATAGATACAGCTTAGAGTAAACATATTAGTGGTCGAAATATTCTAAAAGCTTCTTTTTGAAGTATCTTTTAGAGGCTTTTATTTAAGGCCACATAAACCTCTACAAAATATTGAAACTCCCAAAACATCTAGATTCTTAACCCTTAACCATACCCAAATTTACAGAAAAATCACTATATTCATTCTCTTCAAGTCCAGGTTTTTTATCATTTTACCATTGTCTTAAAAAGTGGGGAAGAAAACAAATACATATAAACCATAACGCATTATGCAAATGCAGAAAAGAGTAGCGATATATATTATCAACCAGAGGAGGTGGCAGAGAGAAGAGAGAGAGGACCTCTGTAACAAACGTCGATTCGGCTCTGGAAAGGTCTCTAATGTAGCACAGCGCATTGCATTAATTCTAGCTTCCTTGCGATCAATTTCTTGTAAAACAAAAACAGTAACAGTAAAATGAACTTTTGAAGCATAGTTTCAAATCCAAAGAACTGGAACAGTGCAACAAAACTTGACAAATGAACAGAACAGTCACGGAGAATAACTGATAGACCAAGGCCTTTGAGGTTTTACCAAAAACTTCATAGCAAACTGTCAAAAACAGCTCCAAAGTAAAAAGGTCACATGTATGGATCAACAAATTTTTTACCTCTCCCTTTTTCTTCTTTTTTTCCCTCTCTTATTTATTATTTTCCTCTTATTTCTTAAATTTTTTTATTTATTCCTATTTTTGTTTTCTTTTTTTCTTTCATGTATTTTTTCTCTCTTATTTATCTTTATTTTCATTTTATTTTATTTTTCTTTCTAATTGTTTATTTCTATTTTTTTAATTTCTACTGTTATTTATATATTTTTATTTTTATCCTCTTTTTTCCCCTTAAACTTTTCCTACTATATATTTGGGTTCATCTGTCATCCTTCCCAACTAGTCTAAGATAAAATTCAAGAAATCGCACTAAAAAGCTAATCTCCTTTACACGTTCAACATTTAGCAGCAAACCTTCAACATTAACAGAATCTTTTCTCTTAAAATAATGAACAGTTTAATTATAATATTTCGAAGTTCAAACACATTCCATACAAAAAAAAAAAAAAATTGCACCAGTTGACGTCAAATTCATATTTTCAAAAAATTGAAAGAAATATTTTTGTATTATGAAATTATGAATTATCTGTACAAGAGTTCTCTATTTAAAGAGAATAAAGAAACCTAATAGGCTAAGCCCAAATACTGACTATTACAAAATTACAAAATAATAAAAATAATCCTAGTATTTACAATACTCCCCCTCAAGCTGAGGAATGGATATTTATCATTCCCAGCTTGCTAGTAAGCTCTTGAAACCTATCATTAGGAAGACCCTTAGTCAAGACATCAACCAATTGAGAACTAGACGGAATATATGGAGTAGTGATGAGTCCACTATCTAATTTCTCCTTGATGAAGTGGCGATCAATCTCAATATGTTTGGTGCGGTCATGTTGGACTGGATTGTGCGCTATACAGATAGCTGACTTGTTATCACAGAGTAACTTCATAGGCCCTTCACACCTCACATTTAGACCATTTAGAATGATTTTCAGCCATAATAACTCACAGATACCTTGAGCCATGGCTAGAAATTCTGCTTCTGCACTCGATCTAGCAACCACATTTTGCTTTTTACTTCTCCATGTTATGAGATTTCCAGAGAGAAACATACAATAGCCTGAGGTAGACCGTCGGTCAGTTACGGATCCAGCATAATCTGCGTCTGTATACACTTCTAAGGATAAGTTTCCTCCTCTCTGGAATAATAGTCCTCTGCCTGGTGTGCCTTTTAGATATTGGAGAATCCTATCCACAACCTGCAGATGTTTTTCCCTCGGATCATGCATGAATTGATAACACTACTGACTGCATAAGCTAGATCAGGTCTAGTGTGAGCAAGGTATATCAATCTCCCCACTATACGTTGGTATTGTCCTTTGTCAATTGGAGGACTCTCATTCTCACTCCCTAGTTTGTGATTTTGCTCAATTGAAGTACTGGAAGGTTTACACCCAAGTTTTCCTGTTTCCTTAAGGAGATCAAGAACATACTTCCGTCGACAAATAAAGATACCTTGATTTGAATGAGCAACTTCTATCCCAAGAAAATACCTTAGTTTTCCAAGGTCTTTAACTTCAAATTCAGCAGTCAATCTTTCTTGCAGAGCATGCTTCTCATCTATATCATCCCCTGTTATAATAATGTCATCAACATAAACAAGAAGGATAGTGAGCTTACCTTCTTGAGAATGTTTAAAGAAAAGTGTATGATCTCCTTGACTTTGTCTGTACCCCAATGAAAGCATAACTTTTGTAAATCTTCCAAACCAAGCACGCGGGGATTGCTTCAAGCCATACAATGCCTTCTTTAACCTGCAAACTTTGTTTTCTCCATTTGTGGAGTTAAATCCTGGTGGAATCTCCATGTAAACCTCTTCTTCTAATTCGCCATTGAGGAAGGCATTTTTTACATCAAATTGTCTCAAATCCCAATTAGAATGAGCAGCAAGGGACAATAGAACTCTTACAGTGTTCATTTTGGCCACTGGAGCAAATGTTTCTTCGTAATCAATGTCATAGGTCTGTGTGTATCCCTTGGCAACCAGTCGAGCTTTATACCTTTCAAGAGTCCCATCAGAATTATATTTCGGAGTATATACCCATCTGCATCCGACTGCCCTTTTTCCATTTGGCCTGTCAACGACTTCCCATGTATTATTCTTCTCTAATGCATTCATCTCATCATTCATGGCTTGAACCCAATTGTCATCCTTTAATGCTTCATGTACTGATTCTGAGATTGAAATGGAGTCAAGTGCTGTAATAAAGCTTCAATGCTGCATAGAGAGATTCTTAGAGGAGACAAAATGAGAAATAGGGTGTTGGGTACAAGACCTTTTCCCTTTTCTTACAGCAATGGGTAAGTCAACAGAATTAATATCATGCTCAGGAACAACAGAAGTAGTGTTTTCAGTACTTACCAGCGGTTCAGGCGACTGCAGTTGCTGGTGGGGCAGTGTGGGTTGTCTCTTCCTTTGGTAAAATAGTTCAGGTGTCCCAGCTTTGCGTACTTTCTGTCGATCAATTGGAGTCATATCACAAGAGGAATCATATGAACTTTCAGCCTCATCAACTAAGTCTTCCTTCTCATTGTCATATGGTGTAACCATTGGGTTAGGACTCAGAGGTAACGGAAGGGAAGACTCAGACTCAAAGAAATTAGAAGGAGCTTCAATATTGTTCTCCCCCTGAAGCTGAGGAGGTAGAAAGTATGACTCAGATTCATGAAAGCTAACATCCATAGACACAAAGAATTTACGACTCGGAGGATGATAACAATTGTATCATTTCTTGTTGGGAGCATAACCAAGGAAGACACATTTAAGGGCCCTAAGCTCTAATTTACTCCGATGTTGTTTACGGACATGAACAAAGACAATGCATCCAAAGACACGAGACTGGAGACTCTGCATAATTGGGACAGAAGGATAAAAAAAGGTCATTAGATCAACAGGACTTACATGGCCAAGGATTATGGAAGGTAGGCGGTTGATCAAATAGGCTGCAGTTAATACAGCTTCGCCCCAGTAAGAGTTGGGCACAGATGTCTGAAACAATAATGCTCTGGTGAGTTCAAGCAAATGTCTATTTTTCCGTTCAGCAACCCCATTTTGTTGAGGGGTATCTACGCATGTGAGTTCATGAACCATTCCTTTGTCTTTAATAAACTGAGAAAGATGTTGATTAACATATTCAGTACCATTATCTGATCTCAAGCGTTTGATACGTTTACCAAACTGAGTTTCAATCATATAATAAAACTGGATAAACAACTGTGTTACTGCTGTCTTATCTTTCATCAAGAAGATCCATGTACTCCGAGTATAATCATCAATAAAAGAAACAAACCACTTGGCACCAGAAACATTAGGTACCTTGGAAGATCCCCAAACATCAGTATGTATAATGGTAAAAGGTTCAACACTTTTTATTTCACTAGAATGAAAAGGTACACGATGATGTTTTGCAAATTGACAGACATCACAATTAAAAGACTCAACAAACTGCGACACAAAGACGGAAACATAGACTTAAGTAAACTAAAAGAAGGATGACCCAAGCGCTTGTGATGAAGCCAAAAGAGAGAATCTGATGTAGGCTGATGAGTCATCAAAGTCTGATCCCCAGTACCTTATGCAGCAAAATCTGGAACCAGATGATACAACCCACCTTGCTCCTTAGCAACTCCAATCGTCTTCCCCGTGGCGAGATCCTGAAAAACACAATGTGTAGGGAAAAAGGTTGTGCAATTCAAATCTATAGTAAGCTTATGAGTAGAAAGGAGATTGGTAGATAGGCGGGGAACATGGAGAGCATTTTTGAGACACAAGGAGGATTGGATTTTAATATTGCCAGAACCTGCAACTGATGTGTGTGATCCATCAGCTACGGTATAGTACGGAGACCAATAGTAGGATTATAAGAAAGAAAAAGATCATTGCAGCAAGTCATATGATCATTAGCACCAAAATCCACAATCCATGAAGTTTTGAAATCAGTACGAGAAGCGATAAAAGAATGAGGGCATGAGTTCTTACCAGTCATGGCCAAAGTACCAGTACCAGAAGTTTTATTGAGGGAGTCATATACGGACCTGAGCCGTTCCAATTCCTCACGACGAACAGTAGTAAACTCACCAGGCATTTGTGTCTCATTCACTGGAGGAATGTCTGAAGGAGTCAAGAAAGATTGACCACGTCTCAAATCTTCACGTGAAGGTGGCTTACCAAGCTTCTCTAAAACCTGTTGCCTCCCATGAAGACGGTAGCAAACATCTTTTGTGTGACCTGGTCTTTTACAATAATTGCACCAACGCCCCTCTTTGTTGGGCTTAAAGGAAGAAGACCCCTGAGGTGACTTAAAGAAAGGAGACCCCTGAGGTGACTTAGTTGAGATCATAGCAGACTCATCAGAACCAGTTGAAGTAGTGACTTTAGATGAGATCATGACAGATCCTTCAGACAACTTGGTGTCCATCATGACATTCCTACGACTTTCTTCACCCTTGACAGTATGAAAAAATTCAGAAAGAGAAGGTAATTTTTCCTTACCAAGGATTTGAACCCGAATAGGGTCATATTCTGAGGCCACAAAGAAAGTCAAAGATCCAATGTCGTTCAACAGAGGAGGCCAGAGTGGCTGCATCCTTGCTGCACTCCATTTGCAAACTATCATACTGATCTAGCTCAGTCTATAATCCATTCAGGTTTCCATAGTACTCTGTCACAGATAAAGAGCCCTGCTTGGTAGAAAAGATCTTGTTCCTTAGATCATAGCAAGTGGCAGCATCTTGCTTCATTGAATAGGTCTGATGAAGAATTTTCCAGATCTCAAAAGCAGTAGGTAAGAACATACAATATTAGTAGGTAAGAACATACAATATTGACTAACTTCAGGCGTCATAGAATTCCATAGCCATGTCATTATAAGAGAGTCTTCATCATCCCAATCAGCATACTTTGGATCTGTTTTAACAATAACAGGTCCTTCAAGATGAGCAATCTTACGACGCCCTTTGAGAATTGTACGAACTAGCTGAGACCACTGCAAATAATTTTTTCCATTGAGACGATAATTCTGATGGAGAGCAGGCAGATCGTTTGGACTAAGAGAAGCCATAGAGGATGTAACAGGTGGCTGAATTTTCGGATTATCTTCAACGTCAGACATAAAATTTGCTAAAAAACTGACTGATCAGAATGATAAAGGTTCAATGTTACTGGAATAGTAACAAGGAGGCCAGAACAGTAACAACTCTGGCCGGAACAGTACCAAGGTGGCCGGAACAGTACCGAACAGAGGAAGAACCACCGTGGGAAGCTGCAACGGGATCAAAAACCAAAGATAACCACAGATCCACACTCAGAAGGAAGAGGCGAGTTGGTCTGTGCTGGCTGCGCGTGAAGAAGAAGTCCCACGCGCCGCTGCAGCTCCAGGAACAGCGCGTCTCTTCCACGCGCGTGAGGGCGCGTCTGGGCAGATCTCCAGGTGGGTCCTGGACAGAAGAGATCGTCTCGTCGGGGCGGTCACAACCGTGGGTGGATCGCCGGAAAAATCGTCGGAAAACTCGCCAGAGACGGCGGTCAACAGCTGTCAACAATGGTATTTCAATTATAACAGTGATCGGAGCGTCGAAAAGTGATCCTCTCGGTCCAAAAGGTCCCCGAAAATATTTTCCGATGGCGGCTAATGGCGGCGAGAGGCGAAAAAATAAGGATTCCTCCTTTAAAGGTGTAGATGCGGAAGCAGAGCCCTCAGATCGAGAGCTCTGATACTAAATTGAAACAAATATTTTGTATTATGAAATTATGAATTATCTGTACAAGAGTTCTCTATTTAAAGAGAATAAAGAAACCTAATGGGCTAAGCCCAAATACTGACTATTACAAAATTACAAAATAATAAAAATAATACTAGTATTTACAATACAAAATGTAAAATTATTCACCTATAAATGAAATTATGCAAAAAAGCATAAAATATTCCTAGTAGGCTAGTACTAACCAGAATAGTTCTTAACATGAGTTATTCATCCTTAATAAACATTGAAAATATTTCTACTTTCATTCCACAATTTCCATTCTATAACCAAGACTAGATTGTCTCAACAGAAGTTTCTTTGCTCAACAACAGCATAATCATCATTAAAAAAAATAAAATAACAAAAAGAGCAAAAACAAACACAGCGATCAGCAGCATTTCACAAGAATAAAAAACATATACCATTCATTCATAGAAATATATGGTTATAAAGTAAATAAGCATAGAGCTAAACTTACTATAAGCCTCCAACAAAGCAGTACAGCATGAAGCTGGAACTGGAGATGAGGGAAGTTCCCTTAGAACATGCTGTAAATATACCCCATTGATTACCATTAGAAAAATGCATAATTCAACAGATCATTTTCAAAAATACAAGATCCATGTTATATTAGTTATACCAAAATGATAGCTGCTTCCAAATCAGAAATTTATTAACCCTTAAAATTGATGAAAGAGTGCATGACTGTTACGGTCTTGAGTTCTTAATTGTAAACTACTAAACACTAGTTAATAGTAACTAGTACTTCAAAGAAGGGGGCTTTATTATGGTTGGGGAATGACTTGTATGGTGGAAAGACCAGGACTGTCCTGGGTTCTCCCACAATTTTTGTCATATCCACGGTGCAAATAGAGTTGGTGGTATCAAGCCGGTCTCACAAGAGTTGGTTGGGTACTAGAAACCTTATCAAAATTAAACTCAATTAATGCCTTCTCTCTTGTTCAGCCCACAGTTTATTACAGAGTTTATACCCGGTACACATGCAGAGGGATTGAGCTATTCTGTACTACTAATGCCATTGTCATATTTTTGTTTTTATGGTTTTTGTTCTGTGCTCTTACACTATGTTCAAAGAGGATATCCTATTTCTTGGTAATCATTCTTTCTGTCTGGTAAAATTAACAGGGAAAAAAGTTTATCGAAAGCTTAAAATCACCTAGACACAACTGAGATCAATAATTTTCTGCTTTAAACAGTTGAATGATGCATAGCTTATATACCATCACCTTTCCTAGAGTTTCTAGGCATGTCAAATATTAATTTGAGGATTTCCTCTCCTTGATATAGTACGTTAACCATATACATTGTTTCATTTTTCATATATTCATATTCATTAAATCATCAATTATCAAAACTAGTATAAATACCTTGACACAGTCACCAACAACATGGGCATCCTCCTCAGGACCAAATTCAGTCTTGCCTAGAAATATCAGTTAAGAATAAAGCATTCATAAGTTTCATGCACAAATATATATACACACACACATAAATTAAACGGAGTGTTTAATCCTGGATATTATCTTTAATGGCTTACAATAGAAGAGTTGAGCTATGAAAACCATCATATTATTGGTTATATAGAGGCTGACTGATTCAAACAGTGGCTCCATGCTGTATAATGTGGAAATTGGAAGGCAAGAAAGAATAATTACTTCACAACAATGTGAAGTCCTTAAAAAAATTCAAATTATGCTATCTTTTACCCCTCTCTGAACACATCTTTGTCATTTTGGATAAGCTGGATTTATTGTTCATTGCTTGCTAATGCTTTGAAGCCCAATTAACTATATTGATGTTATTTGTACCTATAACTTACTCTCTTAAATGTACTTACAGTGCTAATATATTTAAGCTAATTGTCAGTACCTTGCTCATATTCTTGAACTCTCCGATCTACTTCCTCAACATCTGCAGATTGCCGAAGTATTCCTTCAACTTTAGTACCTGGAAATGAAATATAGTAAAATCAGCAGAAACCCTTTACTGAAGAAAGGGTAAAGCATGTTTCATGCTCTTAACATTTTTTTTCTTTACCATTGAACAGTCAAATGCATTCCCAACACGCCTTAGTAACAAGATATGAAAGGTACTCAAATTATTAAACCAAGTACTTTTCTTCTTCTAGCATTAAGCACCCAATGAGCATCAACAATTGAACACCAATTTTGTTATTAATTTAAGCAGTTTAATGGCCAAACTTGAAAACACAGGATACTTCCCAAAGGGCCAAAGTTGAAGAGGTAATTTCCATTTTAACCTCACCAAAGCAATAAAAAAAGTAATAATAATAATGCAACATGCTCTCTAGCTGAAAAAGCGATTGGAAAAAAATTAGGCATGGGGTTTACTTATCCAGATAGGCCTACTAGCCAATTAATTTTGAATTAACTGCTTACTGAGGAAGTAAAATTTAACAAGTAACTCCTAAAATTTGAAACATAGTACAATAAAAAGTGAAATGAAATATAGATGCATTACATATGTAATTGAATATCATAACTTACCATATTTCTCTAGAAACCGAAGGGCTTTTTCAAGGAAAGATGGACCTCCATCAATATCTTCCAGTGCTAGCAAAATTGGTCTTCCAACAACCAAAGACTTAACTGGACGCTTGTCCCTCCCTGGAAGCACAATACAGAATATAATGAAAAAGAAGAAGAAAAAAAAAATTTCTATCAAAAAAATTAAAATTAGGACACAAAATATCGGTACAAATAAACAGATAAAATGTTAATTATTTTAACATAAAAAAAGCTCAAAAGTCTGCGGCAACACAAAACCACCATAGCAAAAGCAACACCAATATTCACATATAACTAAATAAGTTAATAAATTTAAAACGAATGTATACGATTGAATAAATAATGAGTACAAACATTGATGGAAAGACCCTTCAATAGAATCACTAGCATCACTCCGAAAAATCCCATTGTGTCCCATAACAAGAGCAGCACTTGGTGCTTGTGCAAGGGCTTGTTCAAGAGCTGTCTTCCATTCAAACAAGTCTTCTGATGTCTCAGCCTGATATTTGAAAAAACAATCGAATTTATACAACACAACAATTAACATGGCGTTTACAAGTGGTGATAATTGAAATTTTATCCTATCGGCTTAAAAATTTATAGTAAATGTATCACCTTAAGGGTGAATGCTCGCCCATCACGTCCATCTGGAAATAATACTGTAAGCAGCTTTTTGTCTTCTCTAACAACAACGCTGAAAAATAAAGTTCCAAATTTAAAAACAGATCATCAAAATTTACAACTACAAAAAATCAATTTACCAAACATACCTCCCTGAATTGTTTAAGTCAATACCCCCCAATGTCAAGTTTACTTCACCACCTCTCTGTGGAAGAGCACTCTACATGACCAGTCAAAGTAAAGACAATCATAGGTAATGGCAACAAAAGTAACTCTCACATATTAAGAGTAAAAGAAAAAAACACCAAATAAGTGAAGATTGTCCAATCATCTAAAGGTCTGTATAGTATTACTCTTTAATAACAAATGTGAAGAAAATAAAATGCCATTTTTCAAAAAAAAAGGGCAAACCCTGGTACACAAGGCTTCCCGATTTGCAAGGATAGGGATAAGAGTCGATTGTACACAGCTCTACCCTTGTATTTTTGCTAAGAGGTTGTTTCTAATTCTCGAATCTGTGATTTTTTGGTCACAAGGAGCAACCTTACTGTTGCTCCAAGTCTCACCCTCAATTATATCTGTAAAATGATGTTCATGTATCAAGAAAACTTAATAAATCACTACATTATTTCTCGCCTTCATAATCATGATCTATACGGTATACCTATATCTGCTTGATCTAGAGTTGAATCATACAGAGCAGTAGAAGAAGAATTGAACCAAAAAAAAAAAGTAAAAGACTTGACAAGAATGGGAAAGATTTGAGTGATACTAACCGGGTCATTTTTGAAGAAAACTAATGATGTGCGGGTGAGTATAAACCACCTCTTCTTCCAAGACTTCCAGCCAATTCCTATAAAAAAAAAATGGATAAATTCTTATATCATTGATTTCAACAGAGAACAAAAGCGCTACCAAAATTAAAAAACCTCATTTTCTTGTCAAGAGAATAAGGAAAACAAACAAGAAACCGACACCAACCTTTAGAAGATATGAAAAGTGGGCCACTTTTGAAAACCTGCCATGTAGTAACAAATGTTAAAAACCAAAAGGTAACTTCTGATTAAAACTAGTTGCAATTCAAACAATTGTGATGGAAATGCATACCCCCCAAAAATTTCAAACTCTATCCTTTAGTAAATAGCACCATATTTAAGAAAAGAAGATATGAAGATTATCATTATTCAAGAACAGTATTGCTTCTTCAGACATATCAACTACCCTATATTATTCTACTAGTTTATCCTCATTTTGGCAATGCACTTCAGCAAATGGGTTTTATTTAACAGGCTACATTGTTTAATGCATTTTTTCTTTCTGCTTGTCTCGCTTGTCAATCATTTTGGCATATACTTTCATCTTCCAGACGGGTAACCCCCTTCTTAAATTTAACAATAGAGTAATCAAATAAAGATGAAAAGTAAGGTGCTAATTACAGCCTCCAACATGGCAACTACTATCAATTAAATTGCCCATATAAATCCCTTTCACTGCCATAAAATTATAAATGTGGAAATTTTTCTTAAACTTTAACATGCTCAGAAATTTCCAAACAAAAACTCAAAGGATACTCAAAAATTAATCATATTGAATAAATTATAACTAAACTAAGCTAGTTCATCGCTCTCTCTGTAATTAAAAATCCTAATTTTAACTAGAACAAGCTAAACTACACCCTGAACACAGTTCCTCTTCAAACTAAACACTTAACAGGGAAAATAAACCAGCAATGCCTAACTCAACTTCCTTCACTCCTTAGCAACATTGTCAAGGAAACAAAAATAGATGCGTATCAAACAAAATCGCCCCATTTCATGCAATAAATAACTCCTTTAAAAATCACAACCCCCCACCAAAAAAAACTCAATTTTTCATTAACTGTTATCTGCATTAGCTTAAAATCATATATTTTTTTTTATCTTTTATTTAAAAAGGAATCTTTGCAGCTGATTGATTCCCTCAAGAAGAAAACATACCGTATTGGAAGCCCCAGGTCGAGGTCGCTCGAAAGCCGCCAAAGAAGCAGACATTTCCACACACACAGTATCAATGAATAACCAGCATTGCCACTGAGTTCAAACAGCAAAAAACACAATCACAAAAAAATTGAAAATTTTCCAAACATTTCAAACCCCACAAAACCAATCCAAGTTCCCTCTTCAGTCAACACATCAGAGAAATCCACGAGTAACTTCCAAACACCACCTAGACGCAGAGATCTGACCAAAAAGCAATAAACTTTCAGAGATTAGGGTTCGATGGGTACATCAGATTCACCCGCCACTTCAAAATCCAAACTTGATTTCACCCTAGCAGAAAAACTCAACAAGGCAAGGTTCTTCCCTTCTGGGGTTCTATTTTCCGTCACTTTCTAGGTGATTTTCTCGCACTTTCTGATAGGATTAGGTGGGAGGAGGAAGCAACAGTGGTTGTGACGGGAATGTGAAAAATCTGAAGAGAAGGGTTCTTTGCTTTTCACCTACTCCTGGTGTCTCAGAGTGCTTGGGAATGTAGAGAGAGAACCGAGGGTAGAGAGAGAAAATGAAGGGCAGAGGATTGGGTCCGATGTAGTCAAGTTCAAGTCTTGTCAGGTAACTATCCAATGAAAATGTGCCACTTCAACAACATAACCAGAGTTAGAGACCATAAATTATGAATGTTACCTAAAAACATAAATAAATAAATAAATAAGAGGTAAGACATTTATACTATCAAATTTTTCAACTACCACTTCATTACCATTCTAATTATTATTGGATTAGAGGAAAAATTGAATGAAGAGAGAAAAAGAAAAATAACTTTTGAATCCAATGGTGATTAAAGTGATAGTGAAGTGGTAGTAGAAAAATTTGGTATATTAAATATCCTACTTCAATGAATAAAGGTTTCGAAACACAAACATGGATGGTTGAGTTTTGGTTTGTGATAGTAATTCAAATTCATTCACCTATTTAAATTGTGAGATAGGTTATTTTGCCTACTCCTATTTTGCCTATCTTTGTCTACCCCTTTCATTACCGTTCGATTACAATCTAATCCAACGGTTTATATTTGCGAAATAAAATAAACTATTTTCCCCCTTTCTTTCTTCTCGTTTTCTCAAACACCCTTTCTCTCTCGTGGTCTTTCTCTCTTCCTCTATGCTATAGCGAATTTTTTTTCCCCTGTATTATACATGCTTCGAAACCAATTAGCGTTCATATTGAATTGAATAGCAAGAATTCCACTATGGATTCTCCAACACTTGCCGGTCAAGTCCAACATATCAATATAGGGGGAATTAAAAAGAAATAAAGATATAAAATTTAGATCAACGAACCCAACTTGATATTACATGGTGGATTTCATTATCAGGGATATTTGATATTTGATGGTGTTCTGTAGCTACTTACGATTTGAATCTTTATTTTATTGCTTCAAGTTTTGTGTAATAACAGTTATAACTTAGCAATCAACTTGTCGACTTAGTCTTCTTGAAGGCAATAAAACTCAGCGACCCAATTCGTCTCCGATCCTTTAATTTTATGAGGCATACAGGGAAAACCAAAAAGGATATCAAAACTAAATGATTCATAGGTACATTTGCTCGTTCACCTGGGCGGCAGACATCAGCGTACAGGGAAATAAAATAGGTATAGCTTATATAGGAAGAGAAAAAGGGGAGAAGAGAAAAAGAGGAGAAGAGAGAAAGGGTGTGGGAGGAAGTGAGTAAAAAGAAAGGGAAAAATAGTTTATTTTATTTCGCAAATATGGACAGTTGGATTAGATTGTAATCGGACGGTAATGAAAAGGGTAGACAAAGGTAGGCAAAATGGGAGTAGGCAAAATAACCTATCCCTTAAATTGTTCATGTATGCAAAAAAAAAAAAAAAAAAAAAGTTTTAGAAAAATGGCCCATGTTATGTTTCGTGCCCAAAATTAATGGAAAAAAAAAATCAAATTCATTGATTAGGATTTAAAATTTTGGATTTCATGAATCAGTGGAATTATGGATTGAGGAAAAATGGGTTTGAGATAATAATGTAGGGAATATCTCCCCTTTATTCCGTGATTGCCTCTTCTGTTCTGCACATGATAAGCTAGGGCTCTATGATGAACACCTAGAATATTATATGCTATACACTTTTATCTTTTTCATTATTTTTCCTTTAAAGGGGAAAGGAGTAATTTATGATGAAATAAATTTGAATTTTGGTGATGCACTGTTCAACATCAGTTTTATATGATCAATTCATGCAATGAGAGGGGATGTCTTGAGTTGACTTTTAAAATAAATTACTTTGTTGTAAAATTGTTTTTTTTTTTAGAATATTCAAAACAGGTATTATTACAAAAATTAAGGGACTGCCAAAATATTGATTAGAATAACGATTTCGTATAAATCATGATTAAGACAGTTTTAAAGTTACCTGATATGGATAAATACTATGTAAATACAAGGTCCAACATAAAAACATTCACAATGAAGCAAAGTCTTAGTCCAAGAAGACTGCAAGCTCCACCATAATAAATACATGCTGCTATCTTATCTATCTTATCTCTTCCACCAAAGCTATCTCAGCAAGCACCTTAATATTTATGGCTACATGACAAACAAGCTCCATGACAACCAGCAAGCTCCTCAACCTTAAAGACACCATGACAGCAAGCTCCTCAACATTTAATCATGGCAGCTCAATTACTTAGCCTCCAAGGCAAAGCAAACCTGATAACTAAGTAACATCTTCCCAAGCTGCTCATCTTTCCACTATAAATACATCTTCTCCTACATAATTAAACATGTTTGAACCATAACTGACTTGAGCGTCGAAGTGTCTTGCAAGTACACCCTCATCGCGTTCCATCGAAGACCCATGGGATAAAGCGGCCCAACTGCAAGATGCTCTGACTCAAGACAAGTTCCAGGCCGGCCTGTGTAGAGGAAGATCACATGATCGACCCAGTTGTAAAGATCTGTTCCGATCACCTACCCAAAAAAAGACAGTTTTGAACCATCTCTTTGTTGGTCGGGATGAATTATAAAAGAGTAAATACTCTTTTTAGTCCCTAACAAAAAACACGGTCCCCACTTTAGTCCTTTACAAAAATAAATTAGTCAGTTAGTCCCTAACAAATTCAAAGTAGACCCATTTAGTTGAAATCGTGGTCCCTCACAAATTCAAAAATGACCCATATTAGTCCCTCAAAAAGACTAAAATGGGTCAACCTTGAATTTGTTATGGACTAACTGACTAATTTATTTTTGTAAAGGACTAAAGTGGGGACCGTGTTTTTTGTTAAGGATCAAAAAAGGTCTTTACTCATTACAAAAAGGGTAAATTGAGTTATCTAAATTTTATGAATTTAAATTAATATTAATTTTCTAATAAAAATTTAAACTGATAAAAAAATAACAAAGAGATAACAATAATAGTTGCGTGAGAAAAACTTTAAATGGAGAAAAAGATTTAGAATTACTTCTCACGCTTCTAATCAATAAGTGAATAGGTATAGAATAGTAGTGAACTCAATAAATGTATTCGTATCTTGGTTGTGAAATAATTTTAAATGCGCCTTGGGCAATGCGCTATTTTTTTTTATGCTTATCCATATTTTGAAAAAAGACTCAAAGGAATATTTTTATACATTTTTTTCTCTAAATCAAATCTTAAATAAAAATCTCTAAATTTTTGCACTAAATTTATTTTTTTAGCATGTTTTATAATAAAACTTTCCAAAAAAAAATTATTCAAAATAGAATCAAAATTTTTAAATTACTTTTCTAAAAATAAACTTTCTAAAATTAAATAAAATAGAATCAAATCTTTCAAAAAGGAATTTAATCTGAAATTAATTTTTTCTTTCTCAAATCAAAAAATAAATCTTAAAAATTTAATTAGATTAAAAATAAATTTTTTATATTTTCCTTAGTTGCAGAATATTAAGATAATATAACTCAACACATTATTAGAATTCACCTCATCCAATTGTTACATGGAATCTAAGATTTTATTTTGCAACTTCCATCTTTATGATCTTCATGATTTTATCTAAGATTTTATATTGCATTCATTTTTTCATAATTCATCAAAAATTAATTTCTGTAATAAATTTTCAAAAACTAAATAAATTGTTATTTAATTTTAAATCACTTATTTGTTATCATCAGAACTAATAAAGGTGAGACCTAACACTCTTCTTAGAAACAATTGTTAACTAAATCAAGTTTTTTATGGTGATGTCAATAAGACAATAATATAAAGGGCTTATCGTTTCTCAAATTGAATCGAATGTGATTTTATATCATATTTTTTGACCGTACAAAGAGTTGGATTAATGGTGGTAAAGAAAGAGAGAGAAAAGAAGAATCATAATCATTCAGAGTTGAATCAATTAATATAAGGAAATAAATAAACAAATTATTTTCGACTACTAAATCATAACAGTACAAAGATGGATTAATGGTGGTAAAGAAAGAGAAAAAAAAAGAAATCATAATCATTCAAAGTTGAATTAATTAATATAAGGAAATAAATAAACAAATTATCTTCGGCTACTAAATTATAACTGTACAAAGATAGATTAATGGTGGTAAAAAAAGAGAGAAAAGAGAAATCATAATCATTCAAAGTTTAATCAATTAATATAAGGAAATAAATAAATAAAACGATGTAATTTTTGGATAGACAAAGATAAATTTATCTCAAGCTGCTTGAGAAATATTTTTCAATAATATAAAAGGCATTTCACTCATAATTATTGATTCAAATGATAAGTAGGTTTAAAAATTTTAAATTTGAGTTCAAGCCTTAAGATTAAAAAAATAAATAAAAGAGCTGTTTATATATATATATATATATATATATATATATATATATATATATATATATCTCGGATGGTGCTCGAATTGAATTATTAGACACTAGATGAAAAAAATCATTAAGTAAATAGATTAATTGGTAAGGGATTATTCTAACTTAACCCATGATCCTGAGTTCTTAAAAACACACTTATGTCAAAACTTGGTAGAGAGAACTTTGTTGTCCGTATAATTTTACTCAACTCAAATCGAATGTTTAAAGAACCGATTGATAATATAAAAAAATTTGAAAAAGAAACACCACATACATCATAATTATAGCTTTATGTTAGAGGCATCTACCCTTCTTTATTTTGTATTTTTGTGGTCTCTCCATTATGAAACAAGTTATCCAATTTATTGAAGCTTAGCTTACAATGCAATAAATCCATTGAGATATAGGTATAGAGCAACACCGAGCACATGTTATTATATTAAAAGCTAAGTCATATTTTGATAAAAGCATATCATTGGTGCGCCTGCTTTAGCACTTGAAAATGGCTCGTGCGGTGGAAGAGAAAAACCGTGGAGGGGGTGACCGGTTTTGAAGGTAACCGGTGGATTGCTTCTCTGGACAATTTGTCTGCTTCGGTGAGAACAAGGAAACGATGAATGAGGTTACAGTTGCGAGCCTTTTGTCTTTTGGGTATCTTTCGGTGGTCCAAATTCATTGCCAATCAAAGCAAAGAAGATGAAAATTAAAT